TGTAAGATTAGCTGTTTCTCTTCTCATGGGAAAGAGGTACACATTTCAAAACGAGAGAAAAAGCATAAATTCTCAATTAATGGGCTGACAGAAAGTATATTTGCTCCGACCATACATAATATTTTCAGTTAGATCTCAGGGAAGTTCCACAGAGCAAATTACCATCATTCATCAAAGTAACTACATAGTTTAAGAATTAGGCTTAACTCATATTATTTTTCCAAAAAGGTGAAAAAAAAAAAAAAAACCAAACTGGGCGGCACCTGTGGCTCAAGGATTAGGGGACCAGCCCCATATACCAGGGGTGGCAGGTTCAAGCCTGGCCTTGGCCGAAACTGCAAAAAAAGAAAAAAAGAAAAGAACAATGACTTAAGCAAAAAGAAAGGTAATTTGTCTCTCATGGAAATGACATCAGGCAGTTTAGCAGCTATGTTATTCTTCAAGGACCTTTCTGTTCCTTGCTCTGCCATCCTATTCCACATGCACATGGCACAAGATAGTTTCTAAGCTCCAGCCATTATCTGAAATCCATATGACATGCAAAGTAAGGAATAAAAGAGTGGAGAAGTGCTGCTCCCTCTTATTAAAACAATGCCCTCAAAACAGCACACAACGATTTTATATTTGATATAATTTCCTTTGGCAGGACTTAGAGACATGGCTATCTTGTGCTGCCAAAAAAGCAGAGAATGTAGTTTTTCATCTGTGCTCAGTTACTAGTGGGCTTCATATTCTGATTTCAAATAGACACACTCTGAGCTCAGAAGCCATCCTGGGACTAGCTTGGTATGCTCTGAAAATCTAGGGGATTCCAGGGATCTATGAGCCTCCAAAGAGATCTGCAAGGAACATGTTTTCTGGATGTTGTCTCATTAAGTTAAGTCAAGGTACACATGGTAACCCCGATGGGGCAACCCAATTTCAGTCTTTAGTTTCATACAGCTATATCTCCCACCCTACTCTAGGAACGAGCTTTAGTTACTTGTCATTTTAAGAAATTAATGGAGTATTAGCTTCAGTAGGCAGCAGATGAACTCAGAGTTCCCAGAGAACATGACTTTCCATGAAATTTCAAAAAAGAAAAAGAGCATAGGAAGATTAAATTTCTCTGTGATGGCTGGATGGTCTAATTTGGTGAGCCTAAGGATTGCGGGACACTCTATGTGAAGATCAGAAGATCATTCTTGTTTTTATACATCTAGATCAGGGGTGGCAGTAAATTTGATTCAGATTTAAGAAATTTGGATTATAAATTCAGTTGTACCACCTGGCAAGGTACCTTGGGTAAATATATTCAAGTCTTTTTCCTATTCTAAAAAATTTGAGGGGCAAATTAAATAATCTCTGATCATTTCAGTTAAAAAAATTCTATGATTTCAAGTAATTCTGAACATTATAAAAGAGCAAAGTATTTCTCTTTCCACATTTAGAAAAAGCAATCTTTTTTAAAGATAAAACACATGTGGTACTATATGCAACATGGATTTTGTTAATCCCATTTGTAAATCTCCACTAAGTAATAGCTATCATTTGTTGATCTCCAAAGTAGTAAAAGAAGATGTGTTTTATTGTAAGCAATAACATAAATTGAAATTTTGGATCATCGAAGAAAATATTTTCTTTTTCTTTTTTTTTAAAGAGTCCAGGAGTGTGTGGTGAGGGATTGCATTTATTTATTTATTTATTTATTTGCAATTTTTTGGCTGAGGCTGGGTTTGAACCTGCCACCTCCAGTATATGGGCCCCATGCCCTAGTCCTTTGAGCCACAGGCACCGCCCCAAAGAAAATATTTTCAAAGGATTTTATGAGCAGATAGCTGAAGAAATATGATTATTTATCTAGACTTTTCTTTAATTTTATAAACCCTAATGCCTTTTTTGCTACAACATCAGAAAATTGTTAGAGACTAAAAGGAAAATTTACTCAACTGAGAATTATCAAACATTTTTTCAATAGGAAGTAAAATCTGATGAACTTGGAATAAAGTTGAAGAAACACTGAGTCACAAAACAGCAACTTTTGCTCTGAATTGCAAACAACTCACCCCATGAACTCTTTCTTG